AGAGAGGTCACTATTCTGTCTCTACTGCTTTTGTCTTAGCTAGAATCAGTACATCTCCCTGGTAGTTAACAGGAGGTGATGGTTGTTACTTATCCTCTGAAAGTCTTTGTCGTTCTAAAGGAAAATCTTACTGGTTCTGACTTCTAGAGGTCACTTCATGCCATTATGGTAACATATAAAATAGTCTAATTGAAATACGTGCTCAGTAAATAGCAGTGCTTTTTAATGCTATCTTATTCTATTGCTTAAGGCTCACACTAGTTTTCCATGTTCTGTGGAGACAAGTCTGTCAGATTTGTTTGGTTTTGTAGCAGAATTCAGTCTAAGCTTTTGCTAGGTCAGTTTTTTCAGAAAATCACCTCTAGCAGTAATATAAAACCTGCTAACAGGAATTCCCAGGTCTGCCCTTTCTGTGATGCATGTATGTTCTAAGTTGTAGAGCTATGAACTCCTGAGTCCTCATGCTTCAATCATTGCATTATAGCCCTGAAGGGAGCTACACGGATGATGCAAATCAGGAAGTTCGCAGTCCACCACAGCAACACACTCATCCAAATGAGTTTGATGATGAGTTTGAAGATGATGATCCATTACCAGCTATAGGACATTGCAAGGCTATATATCCATTTGATGGTAAGGTTAACAACATGCACTATGATTCCTTGGCTTATTATAAGGCATGGAGTAGTTTTTATAGAGAAGACAGGTAAAATGATTTAAAGTAAATTAACTGTGTGAGCAACCAGTTGCTTATAAGATCAGTGAAAATACTTTATGAATTACTTTAACTCATGAGCAGTACATTTGTGCTGTTTTAAGATAAATATTAGCACAGCTATTGGCAAATGGTCAGCTTTACAAATTGGACTAGGTTCTTTTCTGTACGTCTGTTTGGCCATATGTTCTTTTGAACAGATTTTTTATTCTTCCTGTTTATATATAATTTGAAAACTGTGTCCTGGGAAAAAGATGACTTGAAATTCTGTCTGAACACTGAGACTTCTTTGCCTCTTGTTTTTCCCAGGTCATAATGAAGGCACTCTAGCAATGAAAGAAGGGGAGATTTTGTACATTATTGAGGAGGACAAAGGAGATGGGTGGACAAGAGCTCGAAGACATAATGGAGAGGAAGGCTATGTGCCAACATCATATATAGATGTAACGCTAGAGAAAAACAGCAAAGGTGCAGTAACCTATATCTAACAGTAAACTGGCAGCTTTCAGTTGTACATTCTCCAGGGAAAATAGTGGAAAAATAGTAAGTTATGCAGGTTCATGGAAAGAATTACAGAAGTCAGCAATGATCTGTTGTTTGCATTGGAAGTTTGCTATAGTTCTTTTCAGAGATAACCACAGTAAATTATGCATCTTACACTGGTCTGTAATTTTGACCAATGTCTTCTGCTTTGTTTAACTGATCTAGAGTTCCTGCTTTACAAAGCACTAAATCCAGTTCAGCTATGGATGGGACCAGGATTCCTGCTTGTTCTGTAGAATACTTTGTTTTTGTAGAGAACTGAAAAAATACTTAAGTTTTAAAGATTTCTAAGATTTACTGTTCCCACTTTTATAACTTAAATTATATGATTAAAACAGAGGGCTTTTTCCTCTAATAACTAACTGAACTCAGTTACTGAAAGTTATTAATTTCCTTCCTTAGCAAATACTTGGCAGCTTTCACTTCTTAAACAGGAAAATGTTTTCTGATTCTGAAAGTTCAAAAAAATACTCAGGAAAAAACATTACAATTAAGAAGGACAGAAAGTTCGCTGACCTGCCTGTCTCCTTCCTTTTCAGTACTTGTAATGTAGAATGTTCTGTATTGGACACAACTTCATTGTTTTAACTCTAGATACCTTGAACAAACAAAAAGAGACCACATGTAATGCTTGATGTCTTACTGAAACCTCTCTCTGCTCCTGATAAGGGAATGATTTTATATTCTTAATCTGTGCCTGTAAGCTAACTCTCTGAATTGTACCGTGTTTAGTTTGAAATCAAGGTCTTAAATGTACAGTAATTCTCCTCATTGTTAAATCACTGAGGATTGGAAAATGCATTGCACTACTTGATTACTATGAAAAAAAAAAAGCTTATCTAAAAACTGTAACTCGTATTTCTACTGAGAGTTTGTGGAATTAAGTACAAGGCTGATGTGTAGCCACTGAGAATGGCCTGTTAGAACTGAGCACGCTTCTCTTATCTTCTAAAGGCCTTCAGTAACTTTGTTCTTTTCTTTTTCCTCTTGGACTGCAGGTTCCTGAAGCGGGTTTCTGAGAAAATGGGCGAGATCTTGAAGGAGGTTACATGCAGCTGCTGGGGGGGAGGGGGGGGGGAGGGGGGGGGGTACTAGACTGGGAGGCCCAAGGGTAAAAGCTAGTTGCATGAATGCATGCAGACATACATTTAGTCACTAACATCTTAGCATCTCCATATATAGGTAAGGATGTATTACACAATCTTGAATTTGTGCAGGAAAATAGAGTTCCATTACCAGAGTAAAAAGGCTACTGCTCCTAAAATTGCTTTATTTTCATTGTTCTAGGTTGTTCCAGGTGCACAAACTATATTTTAGCTTGTGCAATGTTTTGATTTCTCAATTATGCTCTTTTCCAACTCATTTTAATTGGCAGTCACTTAGAACCATGTCAGTTGTCAGTCTGCCTGTGCTGCCTCCATGCTCGCTGTTAACCTCCTCCTGCATGCCTAGGACAGTCAGGCATGTTCTGTGTAACACTTTGCCATCAGTGCTTGTCTTATTTTGTAACAAATCATTTTCTTTAAATATCTTCAGCACTAGAGTTTCATCCCAGTATCCATGTATGCTGCTATAACAATACCACTGCAACCATCATTACATTCCAGATTTTTGGCATAACTGATAAGAGACCGTAATGTGTTTTCTTAATTTGGGGAACTAATACATCTCAGCTCTAGCCTACAATGCAATCAAGAGAAACTCCTAGACCTGTGGTTCATCTTCAGCCCTTCAGTAACCTGTTGTGAGCACTGAAAACCTGGAACACAACCAGAGGATTCACCACTGCGAGCTAATGACTGTTTTCAGAAGTCAACCACTTGCCATTCAAAAGCTGCCTTAAACTAGAGTGCCTAAAATCTGCTGTTTGCCAACACTACCACTTACAGTATCCCACAAGGGCTTTGTCTCTCAGCTCTTTCCACAGTGCTGCAGCTGCTGAGGTAGCCACGGTAGGTGTTTTCTAGAGCTCTACTTTACTGGATACATGGTGCATCGTGAATTTTATACATTGAAATGTGTATCTCTTCATTTGACTTTAATATTTTTTTAAAAGATTTTTATGGAAACTGTCTTTTAGTTTTTCACTATGAAGTTCCAAGTTTAATTACTGCAGTGCTAGTCCATTTCCAGGTGATGCTTCATTGTATGGACCAGTTGAAATTTGAGTGATACTTTGTTAATGATCTATGTGCACTTTTACTTGTAAACAATTGAAATTTGGATATGTTTATACGTGTAAATATAGTTGTCTGCAGTGCCCCTATTGCTTATGTTGTCTTGCCTCCCATTTGTGGTTCTATTAATACATACGTCATATCTGATTGATTAAGGTGATAAGAATTAGACTAGAGATGTTGGGGGGAGGGATACTTGTATCAAAGAAAGCTTGTCAACCCAGCCACCTGCTGTTCAGCAGCATATTATAAAATAATAATTAAAACATCCTCTTTTTCTGGCATCTGAAGCAATATTTGGATGCAGCAGTGCTGGATTCTGTTTCATTTCAGTGTTATTAGAAACTGTACTACCAGTAAAACTGAATTTGAGTGACTTGTGTAGAGGTTTATTCCTTTTGTTATGTATACCACTATTACACAGCTTGACCTAGTGTACTATGGGGCCTATTAAACTCTAAAGTTTAGATTTTTGGAGCTTGTATACAGGGTTATTTATATAATAATGTGACATTACTCAATACTGACAAAACTACTTAGGTAGTTTTTTGGCTTTGGGGTTTTTGGGGGGTTTGTTGGGCCTGGGGTTGGTTTTTTTTGTTTGTTTTTCTTTTTTTAAAAAATCTAGTGCTTTTTTAATTTTAAAGTTAGAGAAAGATGCGATGATCCTTGTGGGTCCCTTCCAACTCAGAATATTCTGTGATTCTGTAATTCTGTGAAAAGGAGGAAATGTGATCTATGTATTTTCTGCTAAAGGGCCTGTGGTCTGCCTGGCTAACAGCCTTGCAGGTCAGTAATAACGCTTCCTGGTAAAGGACTAAATGCTCTCTTCACGCTACTGTTTTTCTAAAACCAGGATTTGCTTCCTTTGGAGGCAGGTTGCTTTCAAGATGGATAGTGCAACTTGTATGGGGGTTATTAAACATAGGAAAAAACATTTGTACTTGCACAGCTAGTTATAAATCACTTATTCTAAAATTCTGAATGTGAGTTGTCTTAAAGAATCTGACATTTTCCAGTAATTTTTTAATCCTTTTTTGTGCACATGTTGATTTCCTAAATGTTAAATGCTTTGTTTAAAAATAGTGTTCTCTGTTGAGAATATTTTCATGGAATAAAAAAATCTTTTCATGGTCTAAGTAATTAGTTTCGCCATTTGTCTTTTGTTAAGATCGACAGGGAGACTTTCATTGTAAGGTCTGTAAACTCTTGAGGTGGTGGTAGAAACCTCTGTGGGGAGTGTGGATAGGAGGAACAGATTTTGATGTTGGTTCTGTTGTTAGCATACTCAAATACTTTCAATGCTCTAAGTAACATCTCACTCCAGAAATAGGCTTACTGGCAACAAGCACACGCAGCTCTAACAGTAGTTTTTACTTAATAGTTGTACAGCTTCTGAGGATAATGCTTATACCAATTCTGTATGTGACAAAGTGGAATTTGTTGCTAAAACACTTTATATAATAAACACTGTCTATGCCGATTTCCTGTAAAAAGTGCTAACACCACCTTATACTTTGCCTTCATCCAAGGAAAAAGAAAAAATACTTACCAAAGTCATTCACCTCAGTAAATGAAGCAAGTTTAATACATACATACAACCACATTTACTCATGTCTGAAAGCATTTTAATTATCTGGATTGTTTGTTCTTGTCATTTCATCATTCATTCCTGGCAGCATAGCTGTTGTGCAGGCTTCAGCAAAAGCCAAACCACTACAGGTGCTGTCTTAAACGTAAGTTGTCCCAACACATAGACAAACTCATTTTCTACTTTCACAGGCACATTTGAGCCTTGTTTTATGGTCACAGATAAAGGATCATTTCTGCAACCTGCAGTGTTTCTGTGATCTGTAAATATGCAAATTATTTTGCATAAAGATACCCTTCAAATCACAATTCTATTTACAGTGTTTTATATTCATTAAAGGAATATTATACAACAGTTTTTTCTGCCATGTCAGATACTTAATCTATCATTTTATTTACAGTGTTTGCTTCATCTTAATACTAAGACGCCAATGCCCTTACTCATTGGCATCATTAAAACATTGCAACTCTGGAGAAATAAAGGGATAACCAACTGTTTAAAGGGATCATTAACTGACTTGGTGTCACAGTAAATAAATAATTTGTTTAGAAATCAGTAGTTTTAAAACAAGTGTGCATTGTGCATTTAAAGTTCTAAACATCTTGTGAAATGCAAGAGGTCTGTGCAGTATCAAATTGCCAGAAGAATGCTAAGGTTATTTCAAGTATATAATTTTAAATAGTGTTTACAGAGTCTTATATACTTAATTGTTCCACCAGCTTCACTAGAGGAGGTTCCAGTTTTCGGGAAAGTGCAGTTAAAATCTGGTTGAATTTCTCGTATCTTTCACTTTGATTAACTTGTGCTCCTTTGCTGCCCCAGAGCAATCTCATTTGAAATTCTGTCTTGAAGATTTCACTCAGCTCTTCATCTGGCTGGAAACCTAGTAAGTAAAAAGAATCCCACAATACCACCATCAGGCAAATGCTTTTTATTCTGTAAAAATGGCTTTTAAACTGTATTCTCCCCAAATAAGCTTTAGTGTGCTGCATTCCTTTTGCACAGTGATTTTCACAAGCTAGTAAAACAGTGAAAATCCTTTCCATCTTTGACATTCTAGTAGCACACAGATGGCTCTAGGGACACTGGGACAGGCTATCCTTTGTTCAGTTCTAATGTTCTAGAATTGTCATTATAGCCTGACCTTAAATATCATTACTGATGTATACATGCTGCCTGCAGAAATGGTTATATTTCTCTCCACTCCCTTAACTTTTCCACTGCAAGTTTAAAAAAAAAAAAATCATATAACTAATTTGTAGCTGTTTTCTGGCTGTAAGCAGTCAGGATCTCAGTGTTGCATCTTATACTGCTGTAAAGAATCTTGTTATCACGGGTGGTGTTTTATTTGCAATAATCAGAGTAGGAATTCTAAATTGTACAGAAGACAGGAAGTTATCCTCAGTCCTTACTGTACCTCTATTCAGTTGCTAGAAGGGTCAGTACTTTGAGAACTTCGAGTATGTTTAGCAAAAACGCTTGTTGGAGAACTATAGTGATGAATAATTTACTGGCTGCTTTTAAACAATATTGACGTTGTGCTCAGGCTGAGTTTCCTGCAGCACATTTGCTGCTATCTCAGCTCCTGTCAGAGAGGAGAGGCATTTCTCACACTGACTTGTGGTGGCCCTTATGCAGAGACACAACCCCCGTGCTGTTGCTGAGCAGCAGCTTCTCGTACCTTGCAGCGCCTGCTCCGCAGCCCGGTGGAACCTCTGCGCATGCTGCGCTATCGCACGGGCCGTGGCCAAGTGCCGCAGCATTATCTCACCACTCTGGTCAGTGCTCTCCCACAGCTCCGTGCCTTCAAAAACAACAGCTTGGCGCTCCATCAAGGTAAGAAGAGGCATCAGCAGTGGCACTGTTATGTTGTTCTGCGGAGCACTGATGGTCTCTGGGATAGAGGGTAACAAACACAGCATCAGACATTAAAACATGCTAGTTGAAGAAGGTATTGTAACTGCCACTATTCTTTTAAGGTGGAAAGTACTGTTTGTCTTCCATCTTTCAAATTATCACCTTACCTCGTATATACCTGTCCTACCAGTTTCCAGCAAACTGGTTGGGGGAGAAGACCAAGACAAATTAGTGATGGAAAGCTGTATTTGCTACAGGAGAAGGCTCTGCTGCATTACTGCAGAGCAGCACAGAGATTTTAAACACATTTTTTTAAAAACAGATTTTTTTAAAACATTTTCAAAATCTGGGTCATTCCAATAAATTCCATGAGGCTAAAATGTTTTCACTGTCTACCCATTCTCTTGTAGAAATGTTCTGAGAAATGTTTTTCTCTGCCTTGCACCCCTTTAAAAACTAGAGCTCCAAAGAACTGGGTGCAGGAGCTCTTGAAGTGACCAGAGTAATTGCCTAGCTGATTCTTTCTATTTGAGGATTCATCTTCTGATCCAATAGGCAAACAACTAAAAAGCAAAATCTGCCACAATTAACTCTCCTGAAGGAGGAGATCTTTTCTTGTCTTGAGGGAAGATGATGCAGTGTTTCAGTTTCTGTCCACAAAGAGGAAGTATGAGTGTGGAAAGAATGTTATATTCTGCAGGGATACAGGCACACAAACACACACTGATGTTTGGTTGGCAGACTGTTAGCTTCTGTTTCCTTGTCATATTGCATTATACAAGTTTACACAGTCATTTTAACATACAATGCACAGCTGTGGAAAGAGCAGCTGCCTCATCTCCCTACACAGGAAATCGGTAGTGGGAGAGGTGAAGGGCTAAAGAGAAACCAGTGTCACTCATACTCACTATTCCACTCATCCTGTCCTTCATGCAAAGCTTTGCAAGATGGTTTCAGCTGTTTTTCATACATAATGGCAGTCTGGGTATAACGATGTCTTAGAGCAGTCCAGGTTTGTTCTAATCTACTGACCTGTTCAAACAAAATAGGGAATACCCATTAGTGACTCCACAGCACTCCACAGGAAATGTACACTGTTGGTCATAGAATCATGGAATAGTCATGAAGACTCTGTTCTGATGATCTCTCTAGTCTTGAAGAAGTTGCTTAAATTAAATAAACCCATCAAACAATTCCACATTTTGGAACATAAAGAGAAACAGATTTTTACCTGTGGCATTTCTAGTGCTTTCATAATGGCAGAAAACGCATATAAATCCCCCAGTGAATCCTTCAGCTCCACAGCAACTTGGATGATTCTGTTTAATGTTGCTGCTCTGTCTTCTACATTTCCTGTGCAACCCAAGATATCCACAGCTATTCCTATTGCCATGGTATTGTGCCTGTAAGTGGATCAATTTATAGGACTGGTTACAAATTATGAAATTTACATTCATTCAGAGATCAGTTCAAAAGTATATTTCTACCTTGGGTGCCCAGTAAACTTAAGTCTTTACCAACATCTTTGCATCAAAAGCAATAGTGACATCATATGGAATGTATACACACAAGCTTTAAATTAATATTTTAACTTCTAAAATACTAGGAACTACACAAAATTCTGCTCAAGCAATGAATGAATGAACACTTTTGGGAAAATTGCCCCACTCGTCTTTATCCTCTATGCTCAAACCCTGTGACATTCCCTCCTAGATTTCAGCAATCAATTTACCAAAATATGAAGCAGAAATTGTACATCAGTGTTAGAACACCCCAAGTGTTCCCTGTTAACTTGTGCAGAGGTTTTACAGAAAGCTTTGCTGATCATTTTTACTTTATTAGATCCTCTGGTCTCTACCCAGTTGCAGAAGGCAATCTCCTCCATGCACACTTACATGCTCAGATAAGATTCCTGAATTTTAGTTAATACTTGAGCTCGTAAAGGGGAGCTGATGGCATTCAGCTGCTCCAAGGACCCTGCTTTCAATGCCATTCCCCTTTCTCTCCCTGTACTACATGCATAGAGTTGCCTTATAATCTTCAAGAATTTCCTATGCAAAAAGAAGTTATGTGCCATCTCACAAAATAATCTGTACATGTGAATTCAGGAAACATGCAGGGGAGAGCATTCTTTGAGGAAATGAGGAGTACAGTGTAGCCATGCTCTGAGCTTCTGGCCATCTGCCCTGGAAATGAGTACCAGGAACCTTTACCTTTCAATGAGATCAAGGCGCAGCTGATGTCCGTAAGGCAAGGTAATCAGTTCAAGACCAGAGCTCCCTCCCATATTCCTTCTCATCTCTTCAGAAACTTCTACTATCCTTGCCACCTGTTAAGGGCAAAAAACTCTGCATGAATTTTGAAACTAACTTTCTTCAAAAAACCCCCCAGCCACATAGAACTCTGGGTTAGCTCAGGGCTTACATAGCTAAGTGCACAAAATGCAACATTAGAATACAGGCAGCAAAGGAAAAATCAACTTGGGCACATTCAGTCTTGCACAAAAAGGTCAGTAAAATACTTTTTTTACATTATTCAGCCATCAGAAAACAAAAGGTGTAACCAAAATGCTTTATCAGGAAGCAGAGGATGAAGTTCCAGGAAATACAGCGCTCTCAGCCTGGTCCTTGTCAGAGAGGCAGTGCTCTTTGGCCTTAAAGATGTACACACTTGCTTTGCCTTTTTCCTTTCTAAAAAGATGACTGCTCAGAATGTTTTTGGTCACACCACAGGGTCCTCATAAAGGTGAAGTAGAAAAAGGACTTAAAGAAGATGCTGAATGGTGAGTGCCTAACGAAGTCAGTATGTGAAAGCTGACACCCCATCAATTTGTCTTTGCATTTTAAACACATTGCATTAGCTACTGGTTATCTCAATGACAATTATATATGCTAATAATAATAAAACCCACATTAATATGATAATGTAGAATTATCTGCTGGTTTAAAGCCTGTATGTTGACACATTTACAAATCAACCTGCCTGCAATTTTCTGATACACCCATCAGCAGGCTTTCATGCTTATGAAAGATGGAAGCAATCTGGGCTGTACAACAATCCTCACTGGTACAAAATGTAGCACTGTAGAGAAACCTGTTTCACCTCTAGAGACATAGGAGTAATATGAAGCCCCAGAGACACAGTGATTGCTCCTCCATCACTGACATACATGTGGCAAATATTCACCTCATCACATCAATATGGGTGATTCCTGATTAGAAATGTCATTATTTAAAAGGTAAACTGATGCCACATAGAAGACCTAAGAACTTCAGCCTTATCAGGGATCTCAGTACAAAGCATTCATTCTGGCTGAATTCACATGCCAATCTCATTGTATCATGCAGTTCTTATCATGCATTCTAGCAACAAGTTGCCAATGAATGACAAGCATTGGTTCAGCACTGAGAGATGAAGATTAAGTAGACATGTCTACATGTCCCAGCTAGTTACTGTTCCTGCTCCAAAATCCAAAAATCTGTTTCTGTAAAACCCCCCAGTGACTCTTGTACAGGCTTTCAGACTTCCATCAGGCTAGCTGGCTCCTTGGTGCCATTGCAAAGTTTATAGTATTTAAAATAAAGAGTCTAGTAATGAGCTAATTGATTATAATATATATATATACATACATATAAATGCTTACTACTTCTCTAAGGCATGCATATCCTATGCCTTCAAGCAACACTTTAACCATATATTAAAGATATTCTGGTTGTTGTTATTAGGTTGAAGGAAGAAAAAAGTGAATTTTGCAACTAAACATTAGAGAACATAGTTATTACTTTGGAACCATAGTAAAGAAGCCTCCATCTACCATTTCTGAAAAGAGCAGGCAGTTGTGGAGCTGAGTTTTTCTGAGTCTGCCATGAAGCCTTAGTTAGCAGCAGCTACCGAGGAGAGGAGCTGTGTTTGCTGTCAGCAGGACCCCAGCAGCTGGCAGGCACTCACACACCCTCAGCCCACTGCTGCTCCAGGGAACTGCCCCCTCCTCAGAGCCACGGTGTCCATCAGTGCAGCAAAGCACTACAGACATGTTTTGTCTGGAGCATCACCATTTCCACTTCCTTTCTTGTCTGTTAATGGAGTTGCCCAGTAAGTAGCCACATTTTGTTTCTCAAACTCCTCTTAAAAAACCCCAAACAACTAAAACCCAACAAAGCCTGGGGGTTAGATACCCACCATACCACTTGGTTTCTCTAGCTGCTCTGCAGGTACAGCACTCAGTCATCCCAGCAAAATGGTGCAGATTCAACTGCAATTACATTCCTTTCACTACACAAAGTCATCACCTCATTAGGAGATGATTCTCCTGTCTTTCTGATCCAACAGCTGAGCTCCAAGTCCTGTCAGCTGACCAAAGTCTACATTGTGAAAAATAGTTTGTGTTTTTACATCTTTCTAAGCAATTCCACTAACAATACAGTTCTCTCATTGGACAGAAATGCATTAGTCCTGATAGCTATTTTCCTACACCACCTATCCAGCTGTAAGACAGGAACTCAGACAAAGATTAGAAGAGCAGCTGATTTTAGAAGTTTAAATATATTTAGTTCCATTCAACATGATATCTTACAACCAGCCATATGGCAACCAGGTAATGTCTGTCTGCCCATGCAAGCTAACTAACATTTCCTGTCATGAGCAGTTCTTTCCAGTGTTTACAGCACAGATAGCTCTTCCTGCACTACAGGAAAAAGGCTGATTCACAGAGATGCAGCAACTGATAAGAGATTTAAAAGATGTATGGAACACTGAGAATTTGAGTAAAGTCAAGGATGATGAGAGACCTTTGGTCCAAAGAGTTTGTAAACAAAAAAATTCCTGCAAGCAATACAAACATTACATTAGCTGCAAATCTACCCATTAATCTTTTCAAATCAGTTCTTTGAAAAGTCTAAACTTGCAGAATATAAAATAAAATGCATGAACTTGTTTTTTTTTTTTTTTACCTTGCAGTCCATTCGAAGAATATGCTGTGCAATAATCTTTGGGTTATTGTTGGTGAAAAGCTCCTTAACTCTTCTTAACATTGATGTTTCCAATGGCTTGTTTTCAGGAGGAAGTAGTATGGATTCAAAATCATTTGGTTTAAAACTAGACACTGTCTCAAAAACAGGTGCAGAAAAGATGATGTCCTCTTCAGCCATCTGAGTTGAAGCTTCTAAAGGATCTGCAGGGTTCACTGTAGGATCATCGTCAAGGATCAGATAGCTCGTTTCAGAGTTCCTAAATGAGTGTGTTCCCTTCTCCTTTCGTGTCAGATATTCCACGTAGCTGTTTTTCTGACATAAGTGTTGTTTTGTTGTTGCAGGATGTCTGGTAGTGTTTAGTTCACAGTAGTGTCCTTCTGAACTGTGGGAAGCCAAAGGAGAACCTGGGGGCTTCATCAGGGGTTTGCTGGGTTTAGGTGGAGGCTTTGGACAGAGCTGACTGTCTGATCCTCTCAGAGCTTCCCCTGCTTGTGACTCCAAGGTGAGTTTCTGAACAACTGTGGGGCTTAGAGATGGTTCACTGCCTGTTCTAAATGCAGGTGAACTTGGACAGGAGTTTGTCTCTGCTTCAGGTAATCGAGATGGATGTCTTGAACCTGCAGGGGAAAATGGCATTTTAGAAGGCCAAAATATATACAACTCCTGAACCCTGTCCCAGAGTTCATCTCTTAATGCTATTTCCTAAGGAAAATATTGTTAGATCATGTAAATTATTCGCTGGTAGAAATGTATATGTAATTATATTTTGAGGAATAAGCTAGCCAGCAAGTTCCATATACTTGCTGATCCTCCCAAAATCCCAAATACATGGAACAGCTGCACCGTAGTATTATTCTGTGGTAATGCTGACAAGAATTCCAGTCCCTGCTGCATACATCGGCTATACTGTCAGAGCTGGATGGCCTCCGTGGCTTGGAATAGGAGGTTTCTTTGTAACCTGATCTAGGCTATAAAAGCAGCAACTTCCAGCCACACCACATAAAAGATGAGTCATTTCTGAGAATGACAAGTTTGAGATGAAAGCAAAACTTTCCAAAGTCAAGCCTGAACCTGCAATAAGGTATGGAAGGAATGAATTTCAGGGATGCTAATCTTTTTGTGGAACGGTAGGTAATTTGAAGAGCTGGAGAAACACATCCACATACTTCTGTGTATCTATGCCTCATCCCGTACCCACTGCACATACAGACCTCTGCATGCAATACAAGACTGATCCCTGTATCAGACATTCCCAGTCTGCAATTCTCAGTGCACTTGGTGGTATCTACAGCAAAGTGGCTATTGCATCATGTGGGTTTTACTACTTGATTCCAGATAGAAAACAAAAACTGCAAATCATAGCCTGTCCCCACTCATAAAACAGTGTGATACCAGAACCTGGTCAAAGAATCCCACAACAAAATGCATGGCAGGACTCTTTAGGCTTTTATAGTACCAAAAGAAAAGTTTTTGCAGCCATGGATTGTAATAATCAATTCAGCTACAGATGGACAGAAACTTGCTTCATAAATGTCTGTCCATCGCACTGTTAAATACAGGAGCACACCCTTTCTATCAGAATACAGCCTCACTATACAAATACTTAACATTCTCCTTGCCATGAGAAGTCTTTCCACAATAGGCACTATGAATTTTAACAATATTGTATTCAAAATGACTAGCAGCCCTGGAAGTCAAACACTACAGTTTGTCCAGATGGGAAGAGATGCATTATTGCAACCTTCCATATACAGTGTGTTAGTATGGAAACAATTGCTTAAACCTCTGAAGAATATGAGAAAGAAAGGGTCACAATCAACAACTGGTCAAGTGTTGGCACACTGTGTAGCCCTGGAGTAAGATGATAGTGGCTGTACAACCAGACAGAGCAAAAGTAATGAAAAGCAAAAGGGATGGGTGTAGAGAGATTGAGGGAGAGAGAAGGACAGAACTGAGTACAAAAGCCATCATAGTTCTTTTCTCCCCCTGAGGAACATTTACCACATCCGCATACTTTACCCTGAGAAAAAGAGGTTACCAGAATTTCCATGAAACACCACTTCTACTTAATAGACTTCTGTCAGAAAGACATGACTGAAACAAGTCAGTTCTTGTAAAGCACAAGTGAAGAAAGGTAATACCATCAAAAAAGATATTAATGCCAACTGTAGCTGTCATTTTTTGGCATGAAAGCCTGCTGAGTTGTGTGCTAAGGTACTCAACTAGCTGGTGCATTGTAAATAAAAATCCTGTTTCAGTGACCTAAAAAGCAAGCAGGGTGCTAACACAGCTTACACTGGCCATTAAATATAACTTTATTATTTACAGTGCTCAGAACACTCAGCACTCTCACTTTAGTCTGAAGAGTAACAGACCACCTGGACACACACTTATTCTACATGTGAAACATTTAATTACAAAACATACCTATTAGCAGATAACTCTCTGACTGGTGAGCCTTCAAAGGGAATCTTTTCTCCAGAACATGGTCCAAACTAGCTGGCTGGCTACCACTTTTGTCTTTGTTTCTAGGGTAAACAAAAATGCAAACAAAAACACATCAGTATATGTAACACTCTAAATGTACATATCTAACTGCCAGAACTTATCATAAACAGTGCAAGGATCATTAGCTTTCCACTTGGGCAGCTTATAATAAAAAAAGGTACTTCATGCTGTTGCAGTGGCAGTGAAATGGGCTATACCATGTGTCACCCTGCAGCACTTATGAGGGTATTTCTTTGAACACTAAGAACTTCTAACAGAACATTTGATTTGGACACTGAAATTGGGATCTATTATCCCACACTTGGTTTTTTTATTTCAGGAGTCAAATATGGAAAACCAGACTTCTCTGGAGCAGCAACATTTTATTTTAATCCTTTGTCTTAAGCAGTCAGGACTTGCCAAGTCACTGAAGAACAAGCTGCAGTGCTGTTGTGCTTCCAGAGTCTACATTTGCTCTCCCTTTGTGGATTTGCTGATCCTTTGCTAAAAATCAGCAAACGCTCATGCCTAGCCTTCCATCTCAAATCAGAGTGAAAATGCACATCATCTACAGCAGAATCTGATACAGTTACCTGATTTCCTTCCATAAGTACAGCAAAATTAAGTACCTCAAAAGATTTCCTCTGGGTATGCTCTGCTCCGGGGATTGCATGCTGGATATACCAAGACTCAGCCTTTTCGCAGTTTCTGTTTTTCCTTCAGGGCTACTTGGCTCTTTTTGTTGGACTGGAGTTACACCATACTTTTCTTCTAGACACCTGAGAGGCACAGTCCTGTTGATAGGCTGAAAAATAATTGCTCCACTCTGCTTTGATATTGGTGCACGATTCCCAACATAGTATCTAACTAAGCCAGGGATACTGTCAAAACTTTCCAGTTCAAACTGATACTGAACACGGCAGTAGGCTTCATTGAGTCTTAGAACTGTTTTGTTGATTTTAAAATGCTGAGAGGTATTTTTCCACTGACAAGTAAGAACAAAGTTCCCAGGACTGGAGAGAGAATCCCTAATCAGAAAATCTCCATCCCTCTGAACTAGGTCTTCTGCCACCTTGGAGGAAAATGAGAGTTATACAAAAAATACTTTCAGAATCAGAAAACAAGTAGTCAAACAATGCATTGCAACAAAATATTCTTAAACATAAGAATTAATTTGGCTACTCCGGAAGGGCACACAAAGCCATGAATATAAAGCAAAGCATGAAGTGTGGTATAAGAATAATGTCTCCAAATCTAAAATTAAAAGCTCATCCCACAGCAGAGATGTGGAAGGGCTTCTTGGAAGGAGCCAGCAGAATGATCCACTTTTGCAGGTACATTTCTTCTAGTTTGCTAAGAAAATAAGGCATGAAGGGAAAGCAATGATCCAGGATTTTAGAGTTTAAAGCATCTGAATAGACAGTCACACTGAAGTTCAGAAGTCATTACTACAAGATCCTGGAGTTTGCCCATTCCTTATTACCTTAAATGACAGAAGCTTTCATTTTTTATTCTTTGTGAATACTGCACGTGAATACTACTGACTAGGAGGAGTCAAAGAAATCCTGTTTTTCTGTTTTGAGTTACTCCTTTCACGTGCTTTTAAAACCGACGCACGTCAGAGCCGAGTGACCTGAGTGGGTGCAAAGCCTGCTCTCCCTGCCGGGGTGGGGCTGGGAGGGAGGCCCGCAGGGGGAGCTCCAGGTGCTCGGGAACCGAAGCTCTGATCCAACCACAGCCTTAATATGTTTTTAACTGCGTTTGTAAGGATCAAAATTGAGTTATTGCATAGATTTTGTTGAGGTTTTTTCCTCTCGCCCAAATTTCAAGCGCAAGAAAGAAAGTAAACAAGAACATTTTAACTTTGGTTAAGAACTCTGAACCAAATTCACATCAGTATGCCTGAACAATATGTGGGCACAGTATTCTCATATAAAGCTTAAATTCCATTTCCACCTTTATTCAGTGCACAACAATCCTGAAATATCTTTATTTTCCACCAGGGTCCCCCCTAAGTCCTTCCTCAGTCTCATTTTATGCCAAGCTGTGATAAATACCATAGCTTTCATACAAATAGGCATTATGTTTCTACTAAATCAATGCAGATATCAGAGATGTGTATAGTACTTCAGTGAAATTGTGCTTGTCTATAGAAGCTCAAAGCACATTTGGCAATGCAAAGACCACGTACCTGCCGAGGAATACGTCCATGGTACCAGGCATAGCTACGCAAGTCCTCACTACTCAGCTGCAGTTCTTCCTCTAACTCCTTCTTCAGTTTTTCCGGGCTGTTGTCCATAACCTGCCTCTCCCTAGAAAACTGCAATAAAAGATTAAAAGCTTCAACTGTGCCAAGTTTAGTGATTAACATTTTACCTGGGTTATAACTTCCATCACATGACTTGCACTGGAATGCAGGTGCTGCTTTCAGCAGGCTGGCTTGGCTTTGCTCTCTAGATTGTATTTGCAAAACTCAGCACTCACTGAGATAACATGTGATTGTTCTACACCACACAGAACAGAGCAAAGTGTTCTGCCTGTAAACCAAACTAGTAACGACACACCTACAAAGTCACTTCTCCTACTTCCTCTTTCCAATCTGATTTCTAAGTATATCCAAAAAAATGTAGCTGGACACAAATGCCCTGCTTCAATATTCTTCCTCCTCTTTAAACTTCCATTTTAAATTCAGATTCTTTCCTCCTAACCCCTTTTGAACTCTTCCAATTAAGAACATTCCAAATGCATCAAGATGGGCAAACCTGGACATACACAGTTGTTCACTATTTCTGTTGCACTAAAAAACAATTTGCCAAAGTAAAATTTCAGCCTTAAAGGACTTACTTCCGATGGTCATTATCTGTCTAAATCTGCATGTCCAAGATGTTCCCTTCCTAAGGGAAAAAAGCTCTTGTTGCCCCTTAGCACAAAAAGCAAGAGATCTGCTTGAAGATAAATCCATCACCACCATACAACCACTGTCAGATTTTCTGAAAAAAATTCTATCTTCTGGAGTACAAGTTTCATACTGGACCACTCTGGCTCACTAGTCCTTATGGATGCAGTGTTGATAACAAAGTAAGGTGCGGTATCTTCTCTGGATAGAGGCCACAAACTCTTTCATAAGCAGTCAGTGGAGGGAAGTACTTTGGGCTTCCTTTCATTCTCTGAGGGTTGGGACTTCAGCCCTTCTTTGTTGTGCTGAAGAGTTTCAAAAGCCTGGGAACAGGTTCTACACTGATCAAAGCATCAGAGTATACACTCTCTTCAGAGAAAGATCACTTTAAAAAAAAGGAAGGGGAGAGAGAAGGCCTCCAGCTGTAGCAGAGAATAAAATGCAACATTTTACTCCAGTGCATTATGGATTTCTTTTCTTAGCTGTGGATATGAGCCAAAGCTCACAGGTTCCTTTCACTGACACACCGAGACGAATATGGAACACATGCATTATGTAAAAGTGAACTGGGAATGCTTGCCCACCAATCCTGTTCTTTCCATGAATGCTTGCTCTCTATAGCATTTTCTTCTTCACACTGAATACTCACAGCACCTAACCGTGGGAGCAGGTGGCACACATTTAACACTTCTTTCAACAATCCTCCCTGCAATTTCAAGCAGACTGAATTACAACAGATTACCAGACAGCAGATTTTTGGTGGAATAATGCCAGAAGAGGCATCCTGCTGCCAAGACTATTTAAGCATGCTGGGAGCCCAGAGAAATTCTGAGACAAATTCTCCTCTTCTCTCTGGTTTCCTTGGAGAGAACTAAGGCTTCTTTTAGACAAACACAAATGAATGTAGTATCTTACACAAAAGGGCAAAAGATAAAAACAACCTAGTAAAGAATAACTTTTCACCCCAGTTTCCCTTCTGTGAACCATAATAGGGTGTTATTTTTCCATACAAATGTGGTTCACAATGGACAAGCATTTTCAACAAGGAGTATATCTTTCAGGAAGAAACCATGCCACAAAAAAAGAAGACCTTCACTGCAAGGGCTCATTCATAAAGCCATGTACAACATGAAGAGGTGAAGTTACTGGATGTAAGAAGAGTCATAGAAGGGGACTGGTGAGGACCAAAGCCCAAAAGTATACTGAAGTGTCAAAACACAGTCAAGTAAGGCCAAAAATCTGCCCTCCACTCCAGATCCCTGTGCCCTATCAGACTAGCATAGCTGAATTTCCCAACTCAAATGGCTGGGTATCCATTTAAAATTGATTCCAAAACTGAAAGCCACTTCACTGACACATCTTACAGAATGATAGCAGGGATTATAGTATCTGTATAAGCTGAAGGTAGAGTGAAGAGCACATAAATTGAACTGAGACTTTTCAAGAGCCCCTTTTCCCCTGACTGCACAAGGAAGCGGCTGGAGAACTTTTAAAGCCTCCCCTCCAAGTGTAAACAACAGCATCCAGCTGTAATGGAATACCAAGCTCTTACATTCACAGCTGTGTGTTTTGTCAATCATCTGAAAGGAACTACTACTTTAACATGAATTGCATTTAATGTTTTGAAAGATGCTTTTGACTGAATAGAGATCTTAAAGAACCCAAAGCTACCATACAAATTGTTACCATCATGCCAAAAGCATCTTGCTGTATCTCAGTGGTAGGCAAAACTACTGGAAATGGACCAAAATATAGCATACAAAGGCAATAACTGAATTTGCTTAGGAGAGTTAGATTCCTAGCCAACAAGAATACAGGTCCTTGCATATGGACTAATTTTATATACGGTACTGACACAACTTATCTTAAAAAACCCAGGATGATCAAGTTAGAGATACACATCAGTTACAAATACAGCACAAAACCCTAGAACTTCGTCTGGTGGTTAAATGGATTTTTCACTACTCAAATAAATGTAATGAGACATGTTGCACTTGAATTACATCTAAGAACACAACAAGAAAAACATTTAAGGAATCCAAACCAACTGAATTGTTAACATTCGCGATTATTGGTTTGCTAAAAAATCTCCACCATGGTCTACCACACAGAGTATACTCTGATTGCCAGAGGTCAGACATCTCCTGAGGTGAAGCAAACATGCTTAAATAACCCTTATGCAACTCTGAACTTAGTGAAACAACTCCTGTGGCTAGCACAAATCCCAAAATATACAAGGGGAAAACTGCCTAGGTAAGCAAGTTCAGTAATAGCATGTCTTCCTGGACAGTTTTTTGTTAGCTGAGACTGATTTCTTATAGAACCCAGGTCCTTTATAGGAAAACTGGGACTGATGAACTGTCTGTAATCATACCAGCCTATACCTTTCTATGCTAAACACTGTATCCAAGGCCTCTGGCCCTGCAAGAAACTCTGCACACGCTCTAAACTTCACATCATGGAAGGGCTCAAAAATCACTCCAGGCACAGCCTGCTGCAAACACGTTAGTCTGTAAATAGAATGTAAGCTTAGCACAGTGTAATTAGCTATGTCAGTGGGCTTTCCTTTAAAAGAAAAGGTGACCTGTTCTACACAATGGGGCAGATTCTTCAGCCTCATTTCCCAATAGCATCCAAAAGTTAATGGGCAGCAATGGTATGCTGTAAAGTTGCACTAACTTCACAGTGACAAACCTTCCTTTAGTAGTATGCCCTCACTTTATTTTTTTGTCTAAGGCACTTTATTGGCTCCTATTCAATGACAGAAAGCAAGTTGAATATACGTTTACAGCTAGATAGGGAAGTGGATGTTAAAAAGAAATTTTAAAATAATTTAGGGGGAAAATTAAAGACTTCCATGTATTCTGCAATAAAACAGTTGAAGAAACACAGGAAGCTCTTGTGCCAACCATCCTAACTGAATTAATCACATTAGATTGTGCTGAATAATCTACTGTATGAGTTTGGTAGTAAACAAAACAGAAGTCCCACAGTCACTTCTGTTGCCTATTGGCAGTGAATTCTTTCTCCAGTTCACATCTGCAACAACTCCAGTGAAGTACTTATACCAGTGAAATATGAAAATACCTGAGAGGAGAATCACACATGATATATCCCACACTGCATCTTATGTGTTCCAGCTTTCATGTCTTATCTCAATTGTTATTAATTAATTCCTCCCTACAGTGATCAAGTGTTTGGTTTATTGGTTTGGGGGTTTTGTTTGGTTGATTGGGGGGGAGGGTGTTCATTTTTTTGATTTCTTCTTAAACAGCTTGAATTACAAGGGAAAGGCTTTTACTTTCAGATACTGTTTGGAAGTGGTCCAAAATCTGTCATGCTAGATCACCTCATTCAGCTCTGATAAAGCCAAAATTCATATAATCTCTCTTTGTATCCTTCTGGCAAAGTATTATTTAGGCAAAGCACAGCCAAGGACTGTTACAGGTACAAGACTAAAGGTGGCCACATTTCCATCCAATCTCAATTACTTCCTGGTGCTTTGCACAGCTCTGCCAGCTGATATTTAAACAAGCCCAACAGGCACCCTTGGAACCACCTGATTTCCTGTTGCCTTGAAGGTTTCAAGAAAAAAAGAAAAACAAAGGAGATGATTAAATGAGAACAGCTTTGTGAAAACTGAAGTGTGATCCAACTAAGGAAAAAAAAGTCAAGCCAGTACCTTTCCTAAACTTTTAGTACTTTTCCTAAACTTTTAATAAATGTACCGAACAGGAAAATTGGTCAACAGAAAACATGAAGGGGATGCTGGGGCAGGGACAGGAAATACCAAGAGGGAAGACAAAGATGTGAAATGAGAAGGAAGGGAGAGGACATGCAGACACAGGACACTAAAAACATCTGGAAAAGTGAAAAATTAATGAAATTCCTCTATTGCCAAGCCACTAGAGAGCAATCAACTTGTTCATACTGAAAATGAACATTTTATTGTCAAAGTTCCAATACTGGATCAAGATATACTTCACTGGCTGCAGAGATCCCTTCAGTCTTTAATCCCGTGCTCTTGTGACCCTAATCAGACTGCCTATCTGGCACTGTGAATATAAGCATTTTAAAATATACAGTTACATCAATTTAGAATATGTTTTAATTTTATTTTAATGAGTACAAGGTATTTTATTTCACTTATAAAACTCTCCTAATTGGTCACCAAACCAAACAGACTGGCACTAAGCATGGAACCAAACTCTCCATCATTGCTGGAAAACATTCTTGTCTTTCTCCTTACAAAAAACTAGCATCATTGGCCAAGAACTTACAAAATGACAAAAACACATGGACAGAGTAATTTCTGAATAATTTTTTTGAGAAAGAACTAATTGGAAAAAGGGAGTTTCTAAACACACAAATCCATTTTCTGATTAACTTGGACATTTTCAACTACAACCGGTGCAATGCTCTTT